ATATACTAAAATATGAACACTTTAATTACCTTCAAATTATTTAATTTTAGCAAAAATTGATATAAATATATAAAGTTATACGAACTTTTATATCCAATTAGTATTTTTTATTACTTTTAGTTTGAAATCTTTTAAGCCTATAAATTTTAACTCTGTTTATAGAAGTTAATATTTTCGTTATATCAATTATCAATTTTGTTAGTTTCATGACCAATTAATAATTAGTTGTCACAATGACGCCTGTTCTCTCTTTCTCTTAATTGGCATACAATAATTATAAATTGAGTAGATTCAAACTCGTGATAAAATAATCTTTAATTTTTATTTTTAATAATTAAAGTGACATTTAAATTACTTATTTTTTTCTCACCCACTCTCATTCCCTTATCCCATTTCACCTATAAATTTGATCATGCAATACATGCAACTCATTTTTACCATACAAGAGTTTGAAACATTGTTGAAAAGGAATGTCAGCTAATAACGTTGGAATAAGAGAGGACAACTGAAAAATATCTCTAGACTTCTAAGTGTTTGTGAAAATCTCAATAAAGCTTTATTTTTATAGTAACATTGTGGACCAAAAGCCCTACATTATATTTCATATTAAATATTATGAAAGAGAATAATCAACCAAAAAAAAATTATTCAAAAAATTTAATAAAATTAATAATTAATCGTAACAAAATGACTAATTGACATAATAAATTAAAATTTAAAGATTCATATATCACCCAAAAAAAAATCTATCAACAATTTATGAATCATCTATATCATATTTTTTTAGAGAGTAAATTTCGTCTCTATTCATTCAAGTTTCAACCCAAACCCATCGCAGCCTTTGCGGTTTGAGGTCTACATTGGATCTAGACCCAAAAAATTTTGATAAAGGTTGAACCTATAAAACAACGACTATAGCACAAACACAAAACTGGACCAGAAAAAAAAAATACACACTCACTTGCAGGAATACATTTTAAGGCTGTTTGGGTATGAAGTTGGGCTCATTGTCGGAATACAATATGAACTCTGTCAAGTTCACTTGCCTATCATATTATCTCGCTAATAGTAACGTTGGTGAGAAAGTAAATCGAAAACTTATATTATAAAAAAATTTGACTTATAATAATAATTAAGAAACTAATAATAAATATTATAATTAATTGTTTATTTTATTATATATATAAAATTTTAATACAATTTTCAACTATTAATTTTTTAATCAATAATTATGAATATATCATATCTTCTAAAATACATTCATTTATCTTAATAGAGTTAAATTCATTATAAAAATATAATTTTTATATTATTATTCAATCACAAACTAACGTTAAATAATCTAATCACAATTATTTAATAATAATTTAAATAAAAATGTTCATAGTTAGATTATTTAAATAATCTAATCATAATTTTTTAATAATTATTTATCTATACTAATATACAAATGAGATATCATTTTCAGTAACTATCTTGGTCTTCACAATTTTTTGATCATTATACCATTTTATTTATAAAATATATATATATATATATATATTTAATTAAATTTAAATTTTTAAAATTAATAAATTAATTATATCACGGAACAAAAAAAAACAAAGTAAAAAAAATAGAAAAGAGTGAGACAAAAGTGTGTTTTTTCTTCTAAAGTTTAAAACAGGAGAGAAGTAAACATTAAAAAAAAAAACTCTACTAATGAAAAAGATAATTAAAATTGCAATACATAAAGAAATTGGTTATAAAAATATTAATAAGTGTAATGTTTTGCAATTACAATTGTAATATATTTTTTTTAAAAAAATATTGAATAGTTTTTATTTAATATGTTTGTATGATTTTATTAACAAGGTTAAGTATAATCGCTAAATAGTTGTTTGATTTTTTAAGCATGTTTTGACAAATGTTTTATTTTTATAATCGTACGTATAGACAAGTCTTTACTTAAAGTGACAAGATTTACTTTGATAACTTTTATTTTTTTTTCATAAGATAACTACGACTATCGTTAAATATCTTTCAATCACATTAAAAAAAATTGATATAATTCTAGGTATGGATAGAAGTATTGAAAATATAGTTTTAGGTACGAGTTTTCTTTTCTAAAATATGTAGATATTAGAATGAATACTACGTTATCTTATAGACTCTACAGTCTACACTTTATCATCCATAATAATCAATTAATAATAATAGATAGGAAGATAATAAAAGGCAACTATCATACCTAACCATAACATCAGACAAGGAAAAGAGATGTGTTAGAGTATTTGTAGTGGGAGTTACTTATAAGTAATTCCCTGTGCTACATCATGCCATAAGCAACTCTTACGGCAGATGTTCTTAGCAACAAATTTTTTACCACGTTTTTCACTATTACTATTTAAAATTTATTAAAAAATATATTTATTAATAAATTTTGTTAAATAAATAATAAGACTGACAAAATTTTGTGATTGTAAACAAATTTTAGTTGACTTTTAGAAGAACATATTAATTTTTTAAAGATAAATAGAAAATAAAACCTATGAGAATATACCATAATACCAAGATGAGAGAATTAAATTTTCACCTATTGAATATTTAATTTTAAGAACTAGAGTATGATTGTATGATCAAAATAATTTTAGTCATGTCCCAGAAAAATTAAAAACAAGCATCTAACTTTCAAACTGCACAAGATTAAGATTTTGATGAAGGAGGAGGGCGGTGGAAATGTGGAATAGTTTGGGTGAGAGAGAGTGAAACAAGTGGAGTAGGTTTGGAGAGAGAGAGATGATGGATACTTTAACATTGTGGGCTCGGCCCAACTGCACAATGTTCAGGTGCTAATTATCACCATCAATCGATGATATGATGTGATGCCACTCCTCTCTTCTGTGTGTATCTTTTTCGGCCATTAACATTATTGTTCTCCACGTCAGAAAAAACAAAATTATTGTCCTCGCTTCTTTTTTCACACGAACAATGCCATGTCCCATTTTTTTTTCTATTTTTAATTTCTGTTACGTGGACAACCACTGAACCTCACAACAGTGTGTGCTCATGCCCAGTATAGCCTTTTTCATAGAATGCTTTTTACACAAAAATGATGAGTATCGTAATTAATCTAGGACCTCAATCATTTAAGAAGCTAACTGAAAAGTAGAGTAAATAATGTTAAAAAAAAATTATAAGATAAAAGAGAGACTTTCCGTTGCCGGGACTTGAACCCGGGTCTTTCGGGTGAGAGCCGAATATCCTGACCAACTAGACTACAACGGAACTATGCCTAAAGCTACCAAAGAAGAATAATAACGTATATTTTAAGAGAAGCATACTATGGACAATTTAATGTTATTTAATTATGTTTTGGTAATTTTAGTTTAGACGAGAGCGATTTCTTTATGTAATTAAGCTTTTATTTTAAAATAAACTCAATTTAATTTTCTTGTTATTTTTTTACTTCAAATATTTAAACTTTTTATTTTATACCTAAATTTTTAAAATTTAATTGATTGATTTTTATTTAAAATCCACAAATAAAAAACATCAGATTCCACCACAAACGACATGAATTGCTCATTTGTTTTTCATATTTTAACCATAATATCACTTTTTAAAATATTCTTCAAACCTTATCAAGTTTCGGCTGAATTTTTTGCTTCTAAGTTTTTTAAATGGTTTTATATCACAATTTCATCATGAACAGTGGATAAGAAAGTAATCATGCGTGGTTTTATCTTTACATTTCCTGGTTTGAAAATAAGCATTAAAATTTGATAGTGAGGAGGAAAAGGGAGAAATTATGCATATCTTTGACTTTGGGATCGCAATAACATTGCTTGGACGAAATTAAGTGTGCCAGATTTTTGAGGCATGTCAACGAAATTTTATCAAGTTATCGCCAGAAAAAGAATACTATATATATTAAGTGCAAGTTAATATGTTCCATTGATTATTTAATTTGGATTGGTGTAAGTGGTGACCAACTTATATAATTTAATCAAATAGTAAAAAAAAATCTGCATAAAATTTAAGTTAAAAAGAAAAGATTATCTATTTGGTGAGTTAAACCATCAAGAGATTACTCGTATTTTATGGAGAATTCTCCTGATAATAAAAATAAAAAAAAAAACATGTTTAAGTGATTATTTGACTTTCAATGCTTTAATTTTTCTTGTTTTTTTTTTTTTTAACTCATGATGAAATTTAAGGGATGTATATATATTATTCCAGAACAAAAGTCAAGACTCACATATTGAATTTTAGGTCCTTTTGATTTTTTTTTTCCTAAGACAAATAATTTTTGGTAAAGTTATTATTATTTTTATTATTTTTCTTAATGCATTTGTCAAAACTGCTTTTTTTCATATAAAAAAACAACTTCAATCTTCCTTTTAAAAACATTTTTATAAGTATTTTTTAATTTAAAACAAACTGACTCTTATTTTCATCAAAAATATCCTTTGACAAATAATTATAAATCAACCTATTTTCAAAACATAAAAATCAATGACAGTACTATTTTATCTATTTCAACAAAAAATTTTCAATCTGAAAGATTAGAAAGTTGAATCTCTATTAATATATTCAAATATCTCAATAATCTACCAACTGTCTTAGATTTACAATCTCAAAATTTGATTTAGAAGTATAATTATTCACTAAAAGTTTCAGATTTATGACATTATATTATCTTAAAAAACTCACTCACATGACACACAAGTTCCTTTTAGCAAAATATTTTCTATCATTATTGAGATGATAAAAGTACCAATTTTTTTACTATAAGGCAAAACCTAAAGAAGTTAAACTACTTTTGGTAGGACGGATGTAAATTAGATTTTATTGATAAGTATTCAAACAAATAAAAATAAAAATAAAAAAATGTTGAATAACATTACTTGAATGTTGAAAACAAAAAGAGTTTTATTTCCCCACGTTGAAAAACCATTTTTGGAAGAAATTAAGAAGTGGGAGCAAAAAAATAAAAGAGAAAGGGAAGACAGAAGAAATAATTGAAATGTAAGATTTAGAGTTATATTATGATGGACTAGGCAAACAGTTAGACATAGACAAGGATCTCTGTCTACTGAGATTCACAGTCAAGGCCTTTGCCTTGCTGGTATACAATTTCTTTACATTGGAGCTTTGGTCCTGCATTAACCTGGCCAAGCTTCTCTTAGCATTCGGTCTGAAGGGACAATTGGAGGCCAAGAACCCATCCACCAAGTGCAAGTAAGCCTCCAAGTCATGACAACAGGCCATGTCAGCATCGGGCTTAAGATACGGCGACATCTTGGTGTGCACGCGCAGCTCAGTCCCCACGTGCGAGTAGGCCAACGGCGTCTTCTCCTCCAACACGCCCCCTCCCACGTTCCGCATTTTTTTTTCTTCTAAAGTTTAAAACAGGAGAGAAGTAAACATTAAAAAAAAAAACTCTACTAATGAAAAAGATAATTAAAATTGCAATACATAAAGAAATTGGTTATAAAAATATTAATAAGTGTAATGTTTTCACGCCGCCGCAACTTTTATACATTTTTTTTAAAAAAATAATAAGTGGTTAATAATTGGAAGATTTTAGTAGTTTATTTAAGCGAATAGACATGGTAAAAGTAACTTCCTGTATATATTTGTAGAAGAGAAACAAAAATCATAAAGAAAATAGTCGAGAAAAAGTAACTATTATTTTTTATATTATTTAAAAGAAAAAAAATCTTAAACAAAAATAAAGATTTGAGACATTTACAAAAATATCTACTTTAGGTTATATATAATTTTTTTTTATTAAATATAGTATACAACTATTTTTATATTTTTTTTTTTCTGAATGAATTAAAATAATTATATTTAATGATAATATTTTTACTAAGTATAGTAGAGTTGAAATATGTTAAAAATAAGAGGAAGATTATAGAAATAGATATAGAAGAAATAAAGTTTTTTTTTTGTATGAAAGAAATGAAAAGGAAAAAGAATAATAAAGTTGTAAGATTTATTATTTTTTATATCCGGACTAGATTGACCAAAAATAAGTTGTTTCATTTGTCTTACATTTTATTTGATTGTGAGGAAATATATAAATAAATAATAAAATAAAGAAAAATTGAAGAGAGAAAAACAAGTAAATAGAATTAGGTAAGAAATAAGATGAAAATAAGGTTATTTGGTTTGAGAAAAATATGTAAGAAATATAAAAAAAAAATGAATTTTTTTATTTGAATGGGAAAAAATTATAATTAATAAAAAATATGTTTTTACCTTTTTATCACATACAACAATACAATTAAGTGATATAAAATTAACCATTAGTTGATCACTTTTAATAAGATCTCTTTATTTAATTATATTTTTTGTATTTATAAGACTTTAACACAATCAATAACTTATTGATATAAAATTAACTTTTATAAAGTCATTGCAAAAGAATTATCATATAATGACGCGTAAGTTATAGTGATATAAAACTTATCACTTAAAACAATTTTTACTTACACGATAAATTCAATATATGATGTATATTGTTAAAAAGAATGAGTATAGATTATAGTAACAAACAAAATATATTGTTAAATCTCATTTAAAATTAATGTTAAAATTATGTGTAACTATATATATATATATATATATATATATATATACTACTTACAATGACACCTTTTATATGTCGCTGTATATAATATATTTTGTAGTGAACATAGAAATTGTACTTAAGATGATAAAGTGTAAAAATAATCATTAATCAAGAATTCAACTATTCATCCTATAATTAATTTTAAATTTTATTATATACAAATTTAATTTTATCATAATTTTTAATGGTTAATTTTTCAATAACAATGATGATTACAACCCCGAATCTAGAGGAGCAAACCCTAGAAAAACAAAGAAATAAACCAATTGTTGTCATAATTCATAGCCCATATAAGATAATTGTTTACTCTCGCGTGATTAGAGAATTGTAAACAAAAATATAAAAAATGGTTAAAAAAATGTAAATATACATAATTATATTTGGTAATTTGTAATATTGTACTTTCATGTAAAAATTCGAGCTTGTATACATATAATAAAAAAAAAAAATAAAGATTAAAAAATTAATGAACTTTACACTCGTTTTCCTTTCAATTTGTCTTCAACAATTTATTTTCACGAGAGATATAAATAAGGAACAAAAAAAAACAAAGTAAAAAAAATAGAAAAGAGTGAGACAAAAGTGTGTTTTTTCTTCTAAAGTTTAAAACAGGAGAGAAGTAAACATTAAAAAAAAAAACTCTACTAATGAAAAAGATAATTAAAATTGCAATACATAAAGAAATTGGTTATAAAAATATTAATAAGTGTAATGTTTTGCAATTACAATTGTAATATATTTTTTTTAAAAAAATATTGAATAGTTTTTATTTAATATGTTTGTATGATTTTATTAACAAGGTTAAGTATAATCGCTAAATAGTTGTTTGATTTTTTAAGCATGTTTTGACAAATGTTTTATTTTTATAATCGTACGTATAGACAAGTCTTTACTTAAAGTGACAAGATTTACTTTGATAACTTTTATTTTTTTTTCATAAGATAACTACGACTATCGTTAAATATCTTTCAATCACATTAAAAAAAATTGATATAATTCTAGGTATGGATAGAAGTATTGAAAATATAGTTTTAGGTACGAGTTTTCTTTTCTAAAATATGTAGATATTAGAATGAATACTACGTTATCTTATAGACTCTACAGTCTACACTTTATCATCCATAATAATCAATTAATAATAATAGATAGGAAGATAATAAAAGGCAACTATCATACCTAACCATAACATCAGACAAGGAAAAGAGATGTGTTAGAGTATTTGTAGTGGGAGTTACTTATAAGTAATTCCCTGTGCTACATCATGCCATAAGCAACTCTTACGGCAGATGTTCTTAGCAACAAATTTTTTACCACGTTTTTCACTATTACTATTTAAAATTTATTAAAAAATATATTTATTAATAAATTTTGTTAAATAAATAATAAGACTGACAAAATTTTGTGATTGTAAACAAATTTTAGTTGACTTTTAGAAGAACATATTAATTTTTTAAAGATAAATAGAAAATAAAACCTATGAGAATATACCATAATACCAAGATGAGAGAATTAAATTTTCACCTATTGAATATTTAATTTTAAGAACTAGAGTATGATTGTATGATCAAAATAATTTTAGTCATGTCCCAGAAAAATTAAAAACAAGCATCTAACTTTCAAACTGCACAAGATTAAGATTTTGATGAAGGAGGAGGGCGGTGGAAATGTGGAATAGTTTGGGTGAGAGAGAGTGAAACAAGTGGAGTAGGTTTGGAGAGAGAGAGATGATGGATACTTTAACATTGTGGGCTCGGCCCAACTGCACAATGTTCAGGTGCTAATTATCACCATCAATCGATGATATGATGTGATGCCACTCCTCTCTTCTGTGTGTATCTTTTTCGGCCATTAACATTATTGTTCTCCACGTCAGAAAAAACAAAATTATTGTCCTCGCTTCTTTTTTCACACGAACAATGCCATGTCCCATTTTTTTTTCTATTTTTAATTTCTGTTACGTGGACAACCACTGAACCTCACAACAGTGTGTGCTCATGCCCAGTATAGCCTTTTTCATAGAATGCTTTTTACACAAAAATGATGAGTATCGTAATTAATCTAGGACCTCAATCATTTAAGAAGCTAACTGAAAAGTAGAGTAAATAATGTTAAAAAAAAATTATAAGATAAAAGAGAGACTTTCCGTTGCCGGGACTTGAACCCGGGTCTTTCGGGTGAGAGCCGAATATCCTGACCAACTAGACTACAACGGAACTATGCCTAAAGCTACCAAAGAAGAATAATAACGTATATTTTAAGAGAAGCATACTATGGACAATTTAATGTTATTTAATTATGTTTTGGTAATTTTAGTTTAGACGAGAGCGATTTCTTTATGTAATTAAGCTTTTATTTTAAAATAAACTCAATTTAATTTTCTTGTTATTTTTTTACTTCAAATATTTAAACTTTTTATTTTATACCTAAATTTTTAAAATTTAATTGATTGATTTTTATTTAAAATCCACAAATAAAAAACATCAGATTCCACCACAAACGACATGAATTGCTCATTTGTTTTTCATATTTTAACCATAATATCACTTTTTAAAATATTCTTCAAACCTTATCAAGTTTCGGCTGAATTTTTTGCTTCTAAGTTTTTTAAATGGTTTTATATCACAATTTCATCATGAACAGTGGATAAGAAAGTAATCATGCGTGGTTTTATCTTTACATTTCCTGGTTTGAAAATAAGCATTAAAATTTGATAGTGAGGAGGAAAAGGGAGAAATTATGCATATCTTTGACTTTGGGATCGCAATAACATTGCTTGGACGAAATTAAGTGTGCCAGATTTTTGAGGCATGTCAACGAAATTTTATCAAGTTATCGCCAGAAAAAGAATACTATATATATTAAGTGCAAGTTAATATGTTCCATTGATTATTTAATTTGGATTGGTGTAAGTGGTGACCAACTTATATAATTTAATCAAATAGTAAAAAAAAATCTGCATAAAATTTAAGTTAAAAAGAAAAGATTATCTATTTGGTGAGTTAAACCATCAAGAGATTACTCGTATTTTATGGAGAATTCTCCTGATAATAAAAATAAAAAAAAAAACATGTTTAAGTGATTATTTGACTTTCAATGCTTTAATTTTTCTTGTTTTTTTTTTTTTTAACTCATGATGAAATTTAAGGGATGTATATATATTATTCCAGAACAAAAGTCAAGACTCACATATTGAATTTTAGGTCCTTTTGATTTTTTTTTTCCTAAGACAAATAATTTTTGGTAAAGTTATTATTATTTTTATTATTTTTCTTAATGCATTTGTCAAAACTGCTTTTTTTCATATAAAAAAACAACTTCAATCTTCCTTTTAAAAACATTTTTATAAGTATTTTTTAATTTAAAACAAACTGACTCTTATTTTCATCAAAAATATCCTTTGACAAATAATTATAAATCAACCTATTTTCAAAACATAAAAATCAATGACAGTACTATTTTATCTATTTCAACAAAAAATTTTCAATCTGAAAGATTAGAAAGTTGAATCTCTATTAATATATTCAAATATCTCAATAATCTACCAACTGTCTTAGATTTACAATCTCAAAATTTGATTTAGAAGTATAATTATTCACTAAAAGTTTCAGATTTATGACATTATATTATCTTAAAAAACTCACTCACATGACACACAAGTTCCTTTTAGCAAAATATTTTCTATCATTATTGAGATGATAAAAGTACCAATTTTTTTACTATAAGGCAAAACCTAAAGAAGTTAAACTACTTTTGGTAGGACGGATGTAAATTAGATTTTATTGATAAGTATTCAAACAAATAAAAATAAAAATAAAAAAATGTTGAATAACATTACTTGAATGTTGAAAACAAAAAGAGTTTTATTTCCCCACGTTGAAAAACCATTTTTGGAAGAAATTAAGAAGTGGGAGCAAAAAAATAAAAGAGAAAGGGAAGACAGAAGAAATAATTGAAATGTAAGATTTAGAGTTATATTATGATGGACTAGGCAAACAGTTAGACATAGACAAGGATCTCTGTCTACTGAGATTCACAGTCAAGGCCTTTGCCTTGCTGGTATACAATTTCTTTACATTGGAGCTTTGGTCCTGCATTAACCTGGCCAAGCTTCTCTTAGCATTCGGTCTGAAGGGACAATTGGAGGCCAAGAACCCATCCACCAAGTGCAAGTAAGCCTCCAAGTCATGACAACAGGCCATGTCAGCATCGGGCTTAAGATACGGCGACATCTTGGTGTGCACGCGCAGCTCAGTCCCCACGTGCGAGTAGGCCAACGGCGTCTTCTCCTCCAACACGCCCCCTCCCACGTTCCGCATTTTCTCCTCAAGCTCCTCGCTCACGAACATCCCGGGGACTCTCGTAATCACGTCCTGCGAGTTCACTATTCTCAACACCTTCACGTTCCTCGACGTCACGCGCTCCCCGAACGCCTTGTTCCCCACGCGCGGCCCGCCGAAGGAGAAAACAGCCACGGGCGGCACTTCCGCCTCGCACCTGCTGATCTCGTCGGCCACCAATAACGCCAGCGTGGCACCCAGGCTGTGTCCGGTTACGGTAATGCTTAACTCTTCGCCTTTGTACATTTCAATTAGACGCTTTACTTCCTCTACTACTGACTCCGCCAGACTCGGCACGTGCGCGCCTCTTGTTTTGTACAAACTCATAAACCCGCACTCCACTTTGGCCTTTCCTTGGGCTTCTGAGTTATTATCATCAGGCATGTCGACTAAATGGGCCCTGAGATTTTCGGCCCACTCGAGGCACGTGGAGGTGCCGCGGAGGGAGATTACGATGTCGCGTCTTCCCATGCGAGCGATCTCTCTCCTGTCTTCGCAAACGGCGACGTATCCCACCCAGCTGGATCGCTGGGTCATCCAACCTAGATCCGGGGCCACGTCATCGACCCATTTAGGTAACCCGATGGATGACGTGGCGTAGAGGCTTTTGGTCATTCTGTAGGATCTATCAGGGAGTGGCACGTGGCGGGGGTGTGGGGCTTCTTCCGTTGACATGGCGGGGTCGGAGTGAAAGGCTTGATACGCGGCTTGGACGAATTCGCCGTAACGGACGACCTCGCGGCGGAGATTCTCGTCGAGGGGATCGAGCATCCCTTTCCAATCGTTGCTGCCGTGGTATTCCCGCCAGCGGCCGCCGAGGATGTTGCGCGGGGAGTATTCGGCGGTCTTGGAGAGGAGGCGCTGGAGGTTTTTGAGGTGGCGCGGGGACATTTCCTCGGTGGCTTTGATCTCCGGCCAGAGCCTGGCCAGGTTGAGGCCCTCAAGGAAGCTTCTTCCCTTCTTTTGATCCTTGTTGATGATCGGTTGTTGTTGTGGGTTGTGGACGAGAGGCTTTTGCGTTTCGAGGAGCTTGTCGAGGTTGGCGAGGTGCAGGCGAGTTGACTCGGTGGAGATGAAGGGGTTCTGCTGAATGGTTTGGGGCTGTTTGAGGGAGGAAGAGGCTTGGGACCTGAAGGTGAAGCTGGGGCACCTTATGGCTTGGAACTTGTGAAGGTTGTGTGCGGAAACGGTGGAGCTGATCTGCATCATGGTGAATTGACGGAGGAGAGGATTGGGGATTTTGTTGAGGCAGATAGCAGGCACCCAAGACAGCGTCCAGGAGATATCTTGCCAATTGAATGGATCAAGTCTTCCATGGGGTGTATTTAAAGAGCTGGTTGTTACCTACGAATTGCTACTTCACTATTCCCAATTTGCCATTCGTTTTTCTTTTTATTACGGACACGTGGCATTTCCATTAAATCATCTTCCATATCCTCCAAGGACCTATTTACTATTTTTAGGATTTTTCAAATTAATTTCTTTATGCCTTTTTCACTAATAATTAATTATAAATATCATAAATGTACCGCGCCATATATGCAAGAGTTTAATGCTGATTTGCATAGAGTGTAAAATAGTTTACACGGTTAACTTATTACAATTTATATAAACATAATTTTGTTGATTTTTATAATAATTATTTTAATTTTTGTATAAATTATAATTTTTTTTTATTAATTTATTATGTAAAAAATTTTAAACTAAAAATATATTACTATCAAATTCTATAACATATAAGCTTGGATTAAATTATTCAAATAATAACTTTTGAACGATTTAACATTGTTATATTTCTTATATATCGTGTAGTTTATTTAGTGGTTTAACATTAAAAAAATTATTTTTGATTTAATTTGTTCTTACTTATATAGTATTTTATACCATAAATTAATAATAGTAAATAACAAATAAAAAGCTTAAGGAAAACGTTCATAACAATTAAAAATATATAAACTTATTTTTAGTCTTTTAAATTATTTTTAAAAAAAAAATATTTTAATTTTTATATTTAATTTTTTTTAATAAATTTGTCAAATATTATTGTACAAAATCTATCTATTAGTGTGTGTGAAAACATATTAAACACAATTGATATTATATAATTGTTTCAATTTGTTATTTTTAAATATGTTATTAATAATTTTAAGAACTAAAATAAAATTTTTAAAATTATAAAATTAAAAAAATAATTTTAAATTTAAAAAACTAAAAGTAAATTTATCTTAAAGATTAAAATATATTTATTATATTCACAATACAAATTTCTCTCTTAAAAAAATAATAAAAAAATAATAAAAATAATTAAAAGTGTTTATTAAATATAACATGAGTCGTACTAACATTAATTTAATGCATGTTTTTCTGCCATCAGTTTATTTATTGTTTGTTGGTAGCATTGTGGAGCCGGACCGCGTCCGGGGAACGAGTATGAGTGTGATGGCCATTTTAGCAAGAGAAAAGAGTACACATTCTATATTTCTATTCCATGAAAGTCTGCGGCTACAGCGTAACGCTGTCACTCGCTTTTGGCATCAAATGACTGTTTTATCCCTGGGAAATGCGAATCAGGATGTAATAAAATGATGATGTCATCAAAGAATTTCATTGATTGGAATTGTAAAAGCTATTTTGACTCGCAACATAATCAAACTTACTATTATTACCAAATATATATGTTGTCAACTTACCAAGGTCAGAATCAGAACAATTAAATTGCGTAATCTTATTTACTACTTTTCCCATTTTAATGCTACTTACGAAATCTACTATTTTCTATAATAATCTCTTCCTCCCATTTTAATGTTTATCATTTTTCGCATGTATTTAAAATATAGTTAATGTATTAAATTTAAGAAGTATTATACAATTTTTGTAATTTATTTTTATCTTTCATAATAATTAGATGCTTTTATTTATATTTTTTTCACTTCACAACGAATAATTAAAGGTGTAATAAAAAATCTTCAATGGTTTATTGATATTATAAAATTAAAATTAAAATGGAACTGTTTTTGCTAAAACATCAAATAAAATAGAATGTAATGTGTATTTTTGCGTATTTTCTTCTTACTACATAAATTACCTTATTACTTCCTTTTGTCCAACACTGCTCTCATGTTTAAGGTTAATACACACATCTTATGAAGTATTTAATAGTACTCGTAAAATAATATATTTAATCTAAAATATCTTTATTTATATTTTATTATAAGACTAGTTATATGATTATTAAGTATGAGTATATATGAAAAATAATAATAATAATAATAAGACTTGAACGTTATAAAACATTGATAGATTTGAAATAAAAAATCGATACTTTTTTTACAAGAGAAATATATGTACAAAATCTCATATGAAAAATAATATAATATAACTTTTATGCAAGGCCATCTTCTATTTGTATTCCATTTCTTAAAATCGAATAATAATAATAAAATTAAATAGCGGAGTATAAGATTTAGTAATAGCTTAAAACAACAGATAGTGTACAATTTTAATTGAGCTTATTTAGTCAGATTTATTTTTTTTGGTACATAATATTACTTATTACTTAATTAAATCAATAAAACAAAGTATATACGTTTCCAACATATAGTCAGATTTATTGATTTGATCAAATATAAGTAATAAGATATGGCTAATATATTGAAAAATCTATTGATGTCAATAACGTTACTTTTTTCGGAGAAATGACAACACCTCACCAATGCGATTTGGTATTTAGTATTTACCTCAATCTGGTTTGACGATGGAACTTTGATTTATATGAAGACTGGAGCATGCAAGAAACATATCTTAGACAGTTAGATATTTGATGTTAGGCCAAAAAAATTGATCCTGTAATGTAGCACTAAAGGAGTTTGAACATTGAATACAGAAAAAATGGAATAAGTCAAGTCAAGTCAAATACTTTGTGTCAAAAGCCAAAACTCAAAACAAAGGAGAGGAAATCTCCGCATAGGGCATCATTCCTTGCGTTGGTGGCCTATCTTTACTAATTCAATTCTCACAACACAAGAGAGTCTAATATTACGTACCAAAACATTAATACTATTAATTTCATTGCATACTAAAGCTAGCAACCATTGAAGTGCATGAGCATTAGCAATTTAGCATTATGCCGCCGGATGCGCGGTTGAATTCGTGGTCTTATGTTGGACGTACACCTTGCTTTTCTTCATTTATATTTTCAACTTTATATTTCTTAGTTCATTTTTCATGTTTTATTATTATATCCCCGTCATGGTGCAAACATTCCCCATATACTGTATACATACATCGACAGTTATTTACCATTAACATAATTTTTTAAGAACAAGTTCACCAGACTTGCACGAACCTTAGAATGAATGATGTTTCATATGCCATGACCACGGTCAAACGACTAATTAGTATATGATTAAATATCAATTCAAAAATGTTCAATGGAAAAATAAATATTTAAATACTAAGAAAATAAATATTAGTGAGTGTAACTTTTTAGAACTCAACTCAATTGATTTTTAAATACACCTTTAAAATCTTGGCATCTAATATATCTTCATCCACGTTATAGTAAATCGTGAATTATTGCATATATATATATATATATATATATATATATATATATGTGATAATTGTTAAATATGTCAATATACACAATTATCTAACGCATCTTATTATGTTTTAGAGTATTGTTTTTGTCAAAATTTAATATTTTAATTTTATCCCATTATTAGTAGAGCTCTTTTAGTTTTAGGTGTTTTTTTTATCAGTATTGAGATGCTAGAGGAAAAAATCAATCTCAACGAAATTAATATTATGAATATTTGCATAGAACAAAAGAGAAACATGCTTTGAGCAACTTTATGCTTGTTCAAAGCAAAACATTCAGGCGTCGTGAATGAGTAAACTCAAAAAAAAATATATTGTAGCACTGTGTAAGGTTTGCTCAAGCCAGCCATATCTTGGGACTCTAAACAAGTGGACATCATAAGACTAATTGAATAAAAAAAATCATTTAAAAATCTTATAAAAATATGATTTGGAGATAATAAAAACACACTTCATATTGTATATTTTAGATAGGTTTAAGACAATAAAAGGAGTCAGTGAGTCGTTGTTAGAAATTGACGTAGCTACAATATTTTCATGTGATTCTTCATGTTTTTATTTAATTGATGTTTTTATTCAATTAATTGTTTCTTTTTTTCTTAATGCATGTTTTGACTTTGTCACCCTTTACATGATCTCATAAATTTTATTAAAGTTGGATCACTCTTTCAAAACTACGACCTAGAAAATAATATTTATTATTATACGACCTAGAAAATAATATTTATTATTATGAATAACATAAGTTTTATTAATCAATGTATTTTAACCAAGGAGTTAAAATTTTCCTTAACGAACCTATAATTTATCACCTAAAAAATTAGGGTAAAAATATTTATATTTATTGTTAAATTAATTCAATAATTATTAAAAATTAAAAATAATAGAAAAAGATACATGTGAAGAAAGTCAATTAAATCAATCATTGAGATAATTTATTTTAAAATTTTTAATTATCTTTTCAATTTTTTTATTATTCTAAATCCTAAAAATATGCTCTTTTATCTTTATTGCATTCTTCAATTATTTTTATATTTTTTTTCTTTTCTTGATCAATATCAAATTTGATTAATTAATTGTTACACAAATTTTATAATTTGATATTTAGACTTTTGCCAATTTTAATACTTACAATAAAAAAAATTATATTTCACTCCGTAACTATTCTTTTAATAACTATTCTTTATTATATAAATTTTATTTTTTATTATTTAAAAAATATTTTTATATACATAATTGTCTATATTTTTAAAAACCGCTTCTTGTTATATAATTTTTTATTATCCAATATTTAAAAAAAAAAAAATCATGAAAGCATGAAACGTGTTTTGTAAAATATATGTAAGGAGAATCTCAACGATAGAGAGATGCGACCACCGCTGACACAGGTACGTGATGATGCACTACACTGGCTCAAAAGGCGAGATCCCATACCTAATTAAAAAAAGCATCAAAGAAAGCAAAAGTGATAAAGTTTATACAAATAATTGTATTATAGTGGATTATAGGATATAGTTAATATCAGTTAAAAGTTATCTTATATATAATTTTTTAAACATTATTGTAAAAATAAATAATTTTATTACACGTGAAAATTGATGAATGAGTAAATATTCATAGTCATACTGTAGTACATTAATTTTTATAAGATTATATTTTAAAAATAGTTTAAAAATATTTAATTATAAAAAATGAGGAAGGAGTCGGC